CTCTCTCTCTCTCTCTCTCTCTCTCTCTCTCTCTCTCTCTCTCTCTCTCGTCGCGGCCGGCCTCATGGTACTGCGCCCTCCATAGGATGAGCAAAATGGAATGAATCTGGCGCTATAGCGTGGGAATATACACTGCCATACTCTTTTTCGTTTTTTCTTTTCGTTTTCGTTTTTTTTTTTCCGTTTTTTTCGTTCGTTTCACTCCGACGTTCGGGATGCCTGCGCCCGGTAGTCCGAGCCTCGGCGCGGATCGGCGTACCGGTCGGCCGAGGCTCGGACTCGATAGCTGGGCCAGGTACTGGTGGTTTAAAAATCAAAATTGGAACGATACAGAGAAGATTAGCATGGCCCCTGCTCAACGATGACACACATAAATCAAGGAATGGTCCTTTCTTTTTTTGGGAAAAAAAAAAAAGATATTCACTGGTCTCAAGGACCACATGTTGAATGGATAAGGCTGGCTGTCTCACTAGTGTAGTGGGCCGGTGAGCCAGCCTTGCCCTGTGAGCCTCTCCAAAAAGGGGAATCCGGAAAACCTTGCTGGTTTCCCTTCTGACCTTGTACTGACGCCAGCAGCGTTTATGGAAGTGGGCCTTGTTGGACTATGATCAGGCTACTTTACTTTTCAAACATTCATTTTCTTTAAACCACCAGTACCTCGCCCAGCTTGAAAAAGCCGACGCGGCCGTTAACGTGCCGCGTCGGGCGGGGTACCCACCCACGAACGACCGGTATTCCCCAAAAAATGGGCAACCAAACTGGGTGGGGTTCCAGGCCGCCCGGCGGACCGGCGGGGGCCCGGGTGGGGTCCTGGGTGGCCTGGCCGGGCAGTGCACCCGGTCGGTCCCCAGCCCCCCCCAGCGCACATGGCATTTCGGGGTTTTCAGACCCCATTTCGAACGGTGGTGGGCTCCCGTAGGCCTACCGGGTCCGACCGGCCCGAAAACCCGTGGCATCGGGCCCGATAGGCCTGCGGGAGTGGGTTTGAAAATTGCGGCGGGTCTGTGGCTGTCGATCCGCCTTGATCGACAGCCACAGAGCCGTCGCAAGTTTCCCGCCCAGATTTGATTGGTGGCGCACCGCCCGTTGCTCGCTGGAGCTGCCCCCTTCGCCCGTTATTCATCGTCGCCGTTCGCAGGAGCTCGTCTTCCTCGCCCGCCGCCCGTCGTCGTCGTCAGCTGGAGCCGGTCATCGTCGCCCGTCGCCGTTTGCAGGAGCTTCCCCCTTCGCTCGTCGCCGTTCGCAGGAGCTGCCGCCATTCTTCTTCTTCTTCTTCTTCTTCTTCTTCTTCTTCTTCTTCTTCTTCTTCTTCCTTCTTCTTCCTCCTTCTTCTTCCTCCCCCTTCCTCCTTCTTCCTCCTTCCTCCTTCTCCTTCTTCTTCTTCTTCTTCTTCCTTCTTCTTCCTCCTTCTTCTTCCTCCCCCTTCCTCCTTCTTCCTCCTTCCTCCTTCAAGATCTTCTTCTTCTTCTTCTTCCTTCTTCTTCCTCCTTCTTCTTCCTCCCCCTTCCTCCTTCTTCCTCCTTCTTCTTCCTCCTTCTTCTTCTTCCTCCTTCCTCCTCCTTCATTCGTCAATCAATCAATCTCCCCCCCCCCTTCATTCGTCAATCAATCTTCGCCCTCCTTCTTCCTCCTTCTTTTTCCTCCTCCTTCCTCCTTCTTCTTCNCCTCCTTCTTCCTCCTTCTTTTTCCTCCTCCTTCCTCCTTCTTCTTCATTCTTCTTCTTCCTTCTTCTTCTTCCTCCTTCATCGTCCTCCTCCTTCCTCCTCCTTCTACTGCCTCCTTCTTCTTCCTTCTTCCATCACATCTTGCCATCCATCCATCCCATCTCACCATCCATCCCTTCTTCCTCCTCCTCCTTCCTCCTTCTTCCTCCTTCTTCCTCCTCCTTCCTCCTTCTTCCTCCTCCTTCTTCTTCCTCCTTCTTCTTCCTCCTCCTTCTTCCTCCTTTCTCTTCCATCGCATCTCGCCATCCATCCCACCATCC